AGAAATTTATACTAAGCTTTCACAATTATCATTAACTATAGTAGTTATTACATATATATGTATATACATGTGTCGTGTGTAGTCACACCCCACTTTTAATCTGTATGTACCCAGCCAGGTCGGGAAGATCAAAGGGAAATTAAAAAAATACCAACTCTTTAGTTACTAATGAGGGGCGGGTGTAGGTACAAGTCCTTTGATGAACTGTTTGTATGAACCGTGTTTATACAAAACATTATACACATTTCATTCTAATACTCTAATTACAATAAGTACTTAAGTATTTTAACATTAAAATCTTCATTCTTACGAGATATCAAACCAACTATCAAAGAACGCAAGGAGCTCGAAAATCAATAAAGGTCCAAGCTGCGCCGACGTGAAGCTGGCTGGCTTTAAAACAACATCACGTTGAGGAAATAGAGCCTTAAGTTACCTTAAATACGTGTTACCTTATATGATCTGAAATTAAAGAAAATATTTGAGTAAACAAAAATATGGAACATTCGAAATGAGTATAAAAGAAAGTTACAGCCGAAATATATCTATAGGTAGTTCCTAGATTAGATAACGATATCTATATCTATTAGTTTCTGTAGATGTAACATAAAATTTATTCTACAACAGTCGTAAATCTTATAGTTTTTCCTACAAGTAACATTTTAGTCTTAAGCAGGTCAAAGACAGAAGCCAGTCGCTACAATACAATATTGAATAATAATTCCCGTTCTTAATACACTAAATCTAATTTATTTAAATGAGCACGTTTATCTAATTAGTTGTATATAAAATACATAAAAAAATCAATATTATTGTAATATTTTGAATGTATTTTAAGTATATGTATTGTAAGTGTCAATATTATTGTAATATTTTGTGTGTATTTTAAGTGTATGTATTGTAAGTGTTTGTATTGTTATTTTTTCAGTGATTCAGTGTGATTTACAAAGCTGGGCGGTGCGTTATGATTGGCGGGGTCACGACCCCTTCACAAACCAATCGCGAAGCCTCCAATTATATAACGTTATGCTTAGAACCTTTTAGGTACGTTAATTTAACTATATACTTAACCACAATTATTATGGTTAAAAGTTAAATAAGTTAAGTTAAAGACAGTAAGTTCGAGATCGTTAAATAGTTTCTTAGTGTTGGAAAGGACAAGATATATTGAGTTATATATAGATAATTTTTAATTAAACTTAAACAAACTTCAAGTTTACATTAAAACTCATTTAAAATAATATTTTATCAAGTTTAAAAATATATAAATTTGAATATTTCTCTACTCATCAGAGCATTATTTAAACTTATAGGATAATACAGTTGAAAATCTAATTGTATTAATATTATAGATGGTATATGTGTTTGTCTCTTTATTTTTCTCGTATTTCTTATTGGTTTCCAAATAATAATAATTTCTTAAACGAAACAATTTTTTGTGAGGTTTCTCCTATAGGTATTTTTACTAACTACATTTACGTAACAAATATCATAATGTTACTAAAACTATTAAGAATTTTTAAATTTGAAAGAAACTTCAACATCAAAAATCTATTACACCAAAACTATTGAAAATTAAATGAATTTATATCTAATAAGATTATACCATTCCATTATTATAGTTTGTTATAAAAAACACAAACTGATAAACAAGGAACGTATAATATTAAGACGTCAAAACCACTGAAAGTACCCAAAAAAAGTGTTATCAGTAGTGATAAAAGCGTTATTACCATAGAATCGCTTTTTTTCCCCTCAAGACTCTCCAGGGACTGAGAGTTTGAGGAAAAATATAAAGATATGGACCATTTATCTATCTGATGTCAATACATACGCCAATAATGTTATATGTATATAAAACATATATATAGTAACAGAAATATAATAATTATGATTTATTTAATATATAGTTAATGAGTACTAAGATTTTTGAGAGTATTATTCATTTAAATGAATTTATTTTTCTTATTATACTACGCGTTTTGTCAAAAACTACATTCTCATGAAGTTTCGGCTACTTTACAGAAACCGTGATCATTAAGACGAGATTACTGATTAGTGACAAAAAATAAAGTCGCGTAATATAATCTTAAAAATATTAGTTTCATTTAAATAATATTAAAAAAAATTATTATTAAGAATCAAATAATGAATGTCTGTAGCAATTAACTCAGCTTCCTCTTCGAGACAAATCGTGATATCTTTTAAAGTGGACAATAAATGACTTGTTTATGTTCTGCTATCAACTTAGATAGTGAGGTGAGATCATTCCTCGAAATAGAACGTAACTGTCCACATGCTTTTTAACGTAATAAAACTGTATTTAAATATATTTATAATAAAAAAAAAACAATAAATCATTTAATATGACATGTTTATTGGTATAATAAAGGAATATATGTTATCCAAAACATTTATAAGTTATACATGTACCAATATTTATTACTCTTATTAGATTTAAACAATTTTTCTACATTATATTTACAAGAGACATGTTTAACGTATTTAAAGCGTCACAAGCCGGGGCACGTGAAAAATAAATGTTAAATGATGAAATAACAGACAACAGTTTCTTCAGCGATAAACTCTGACCGCTCTCAATAACGCACTGTTGATAACGGAATGTAAACTAACTTTAATTTTATTCCTCGCGATACAAGAGATAATGAACAAAGATGGAGCAGAACTCGGAAAACATAACTATTAAGAACATTATGACAGATGACTTTAAAGTTTAAACTATAGACTATATCAAAAAAATGCCGCCTAAAATTGTATGGTCTTAAAAATACTATTATATTAAAAAATATTGTATATATAGACTTATATTTATCACTTTTCATTCCAAATAATAACAAAACTGATTAAAGTCGATTATAATTTATATCAGATCGAATGACGTCACTAGTTAAACTAAACTAAACATGGCCGCACATCACAACACATCGTCACAGTTTTTTTCGTAAATAGTAAATGATTTATCTCAAAACTTGTATGTATATAACGTAAGTAACAAGCCTCAAGGAGGCAATAACTGTTGGTGTCTACTTTAGTTGCTTTTATATGAGTAACCTTTACAGGCCCTACTTAGGGTTACATGATACACTTTGTTGAAAGTCATCTCGATTCACCCCCAGGTCATAGCATTGTTCCCGATAATTATTGTAGGTGTTTGTTAAACTATTGTATGTTAATTTTAATTATTTATTCGTATTTAAATACGTTTCGCTTATATTAACTGTTGTGTGTTTTGTCATTTGATGATGAATAGAAAATCGATGGAATATCACAACTATTAGCATTTTAACTACCTATTAACTTTTTAATATGTATTTTTTTTCTTCATAATATTCGGAAATGTCTGTTTAATGGCCGGCTTTGAAATATATTTATTGAAAACTAATTTAAATTTTCAAATAAATAAGTTTTACTATAAGAAAAAAATGTATAAAGAAATGCATATACCTATAAATACCACTGAATATTTATTGATATAAATAAAATTTTAAAATGCGACTAAGAGCGCCATCTGGATTTTAAAATAGTTGTTATAGTGAAGACTCTTGCTACGTCGTTTTATCTAAGATACATAGATGGCGCTTAAATGAAAAACAGGCAATCACTTGAAGGACTAAAACTGTACATATTAAACTTAGAAATAGCCTAAAATAAAACAAGCTGATGTTTTTTTATAATTTTACTGTTACATAATACAATGTCTACCAGATTTCTTACAGATACCCTTGATAGAACATAAAAAAAATATATCCAAAGTCCTGAAATGCAACAATTCACCGCAACTACAACATTACTAGCTAAGGCCGAGCACAGACGACATGTAAAAATTACAGTCATAGTCCGCCTTAGGTCAAAGGTCACTTGAATAACACACTAATGAAATAATACTACCTCCATATATACATTAAACATGGAATAGAAAAATGAATATACCTCACAACGGATACAAACAGGCCTTCATGTATTCTACTTGTAGTCTACCACAAATACATGAGAAAAAATGTCAAAAAAATATATAATAAAGCAATTAATTAAGTCAAAATGTTATATAATGTAAGGAAACAAAATTTTTCATTAATATTCAGTATTTATCCATATATAATAAGTTATATTTTGTCAAAAATGTCAAAATTATATTATATTTGAACACAAAATATTGTTACAACAGTGAGAGCAACATTCAAAGTTTTAAATACTTACATCTAGAACACACATTTCAAAGATTTTGAACTCGCTTAATTCTTATCTTTACAATATTAATTTTCTCTTATAATTTAAGAACATTCAATTCTATAATATTAGTACAAATTTTACATTCTAGTATAGAAAATAAAGTAAAAAACCAACAAAAAATCTTTCTTCCAAAAAAAATATATAAAAAAAAATTATTACAAAAGATATGAATGTTATTTTCTTCAATTGCAAATCAACTATCCTATGACCAAAACTACTTTCAAAATCATGACAATTAATTCCATAACAGAATTACTTACTTTACAAGACATTCAGATTACAGATCTTTCCATACACTTATTTTTACACATACAATTTTTATTTAATACATAAGTTATTATAATAATAATAGTTTTTATGTTAAATGCATATTTTCTTACATAATTTGTTCATATTTATATCAAATCGAGTGTGTTTAGCGAACATTACTATATCCAATATTATTTTATATTTTATTATATACTTATAACGATGGAATATTTAAGTAACCTGTCCACTGTATTCAAATTGTATTACATTTTTTAATTAATCAGCCTCAATAGTTCATTAGTAATGTGACCAGCAAACAATAGTTTGAGACTTATAATTACACGCTAACTTATCTTAAAAGATATATATCTTTATTTATCTTTATATATCTTTAGTTTGTTACCGTCACTCATCACTTAACACTTATCACTCAATAGTTAACCGCAGCACTCAATGTGTCAATTTTCACGTATAATGAGCACTTTACGGAAGTCCCAGGATCATTCGGGCTCTGCATACATAAATGAGAACTTGTCCAAAGCGGTGGGGGCAATGACCTTACCCTCAATTAGGCATTGGACCACCCAGGTCGTTGACACCAGTGGTATGTTGTCCTGGTTGGCTTTATTCTGTACTTCATGCGGGCAATCCCACTCTGTCACTAGAGCAATGGCCCCGGTCATGTTTAAGTTATCTTCATTAACAATTCTTGTAGTAGCGCCGGCCAATGTACAGACTCGCTCCCAGAACTTGACGAATGTATCTTGATCTCCGCACAGAAGTATTATCTTGTCTTTGAAGGTCGTGTTTCTTTTGCCAGATGATGACGTCTATAACAATTAGCTTTTATAAGAAAAACTGGTCATATAATGTGTGTATTTCTATTAAAGCTAATATTTATATAATAACATCTAAGACCTGCAAGTATTCACTGAAATAAAACTAATATTTATCGGAGTTACTTCGCGTTTATTATTATTTTTCACAACTTACTCCCGACGCGATGTGAATGTTTACATATAAAAAATATATGTGAGACGAAACCTCTCATCATTCAATGTACTCATGGTGCGTGTGTCGGGTCCATCGTTGTAGTGAGAGGAGCTTCAACAGTGACTGGGACTTGTGACTCAGGTGTAGGTTTAAGGGTCTATCTAACGCGCGTTAAACGCTTACCTCCACTGTCCAAGCTCCTCTCTCTACCTAACCAAATTCGATCAAACCTTCTTCGACGTACGTTCCAAGAATGAATTAATATTAGTTCTGGACAGGCCCACGTCTTTTAGTATGTTATAGAAAGATTTAGCCGCTAAATTTCTGCCTTCCACTTCTACCGCGTAGAAATCCAAATATAAACGAGTAGTAAATCCGAATAATACTAGTAATAATTTCTAACTATAAGCTAAGAATAATAATTTGTATTGAAACTTATAGTATCAACATTTAATTACCCAGTTAACAAACGACGATTTCTTCAAGCTCCAACCAGTTGGTAGTACAAACGAGTCAACATCTAGTAAATGACCCGCCATGCAGGATTGTATGACCCAGTCATGTGACACAGCCTTCACGCCAGCGGCCAGGCAGGAGATGTACTTAGCGGTGAGACAGGGACGCGGAGATATTAGATAGCATTGTTGGTACTTTGTCTTTGGCACGTCGTCGAAATGACTGAAATAAAGCATGTAAAATATATATATATATATAAGGAAAATAATATATAAAAAAATTCAGTTGACATCAAAACATATATCAATATGGGTTCTATGTATGTATGGGCCAATATAGCAATTTAGCCATTTTCATTTTTTTGCTTTAAACACTTCATAATACCGTATTCTACAATATGCAATAAAAAAAATGTGTATTTGTTAGTGAAAAGACTTAGTTTTTATTGCAGTAAAAAAGCATAAGTAACACACTTTTTATGTATAAGCTTATATAATGTATATTATAAAAAGATATACATTATTTAAAAAACAAGTAGATTTGCAAAAAAGTATAACACGCTTAAAAAACATACATGTATTTCACAGTTGCTATTCAGTTTCAAAAGCATCAGTTGTATGTACAAGATACATTTACATCAAAATTAAAAGCCTCTACTGAGTAATCGTTATTGTGAACATTGGCCCTTATACAACATGTAACATAATTAACGCACACCCTCAAACACCCCATTTAGAATATAATAATATAAACGCAATGCATACACCAAATAGTATTTATATGTGCGTTAGCATTTTTTATTTGTGAAATTAGTTATCCCAATTTCGTGCAAATAATATGGTCAGCTATTCACCAACACTCCGCTGCACACTTACACACAGACAGACACTATGTACTCGCCGCGACCGCGCCCCTCTCTCCGAGTGCCGTCCGACAATAATAAGTAGTAGGTAATAATAAGTACACGAAATAACTACATTATGATTTATGATTCTTCTTTCCATCACACTTTTCAGGCTTTAGATTGTCGACATATAAATACTATTTGGTGTATGCATTGCGTTTATATTATTAAATTCTAATTGGGGTGTTTGAGGGTGTGCGTTAATAACGTTACACGTTGTATAGGAGCCATCGATATATACTACTCATGTAATAATTGCGAAAGTTTGTGTGTGTATGTTTGTTACTTCTTCACGCTCAAACGGCTGAAGCGATTTTGATACAATTTCGTATACAGCAAGGTGACGTCCAGGAACGGCACATAGGCTACTTTACATCCCGGAAATTGGCGGGTAACACCGCGGGGCGCAGCTAGTATGTATATCTTTATATACAGGGTGACTGGTGAATTACTATCGATACTTGAGGACGTGATATTTGACGATCATATATGACAAAATAAAAATTAATATAACATAAATATTAATAAACTTCTAAGTAAAGTTAACCAAAAGTTATGTAATTAATTACGCATCGTGTGAACACCCTACAGATTAGGTATACACACACACACACACACGCGTGCGGCGGCGTGGTGTTGTATCAGCACGCCGCCGCGCGCGTCCACACTTGGAACACTTGGAACGTGTCACACTTTATTTATTTATACGGAAATTTGGTCAAAAATTAAGTACCTATTTTTTTTACATAATTCGAATGAGAATCATGTACCGAGTATTCTCCTTAAATATTGATAGTAATTCACCAGTCACCCTGTATATAAAAATTTCGTGTCACGTGTTTGTCCGCGATGGACTCCTTAAAACTACTAAACCGATTTTAAATTTGATTTGCATTCCGTGTGCATTTTGATCCAACTTGAAAGATAGGATAGCTTACATCTCAATTTATAGTCACAATATTATTTTATTGCAAATTATTTGTCTATTAAAGAAAATTATTTGTCATTATTACAATTATCTGTTGACTGAGTTAAGTATTTAATAGACGCTTTATTAAAATATAAAGGTCATATATGAGCGACTATTTAATAATAGCATAACCACCACGTGTTTCTGAGTAATAGATATTTCTTGATTATAGGGCGATACGAAGTTCCCCGGGTCATCTAGTATATATGTATGTGTGTGTGTGTGTGTTTAGTGTCAGTAATACAAGCCCATGTCACCTGTAGACCACCCCGCCGGCCGTGTCCAGCTGTTCCCTCAGTCGCTCCTTGTTGTAAGGTCGCTCACAGAACACCAGGTCCTCACAGTCGGTGCCGGCCGCTGTACTCTCTCCGTCCTCCTCCGACGAGTAGTGACGACTCTCCTGGCTCGTCTGGAAATAATATTATACTCATAAATATACTAGCTTTGGAGTTAACCCGCGTGGAGTTCGGTTATATCACATCCGAGAAAACCTTTCAAAAGTCCGGGATAAAAACTATCCTATGTTCTTTCTCAAGGTACTCTATATCTCTGTACCAAATTTCATTAAAATCGGTTCAGTGGTTTCGGCCTGAAAGCGTAACAGACACACAGAGTTACTTTCGCATTTATAATATTAGTAGGGATAAGAATTTGTCTTTTAGAGAATTAATATAATTTCTTTATTTGTAATGAATAGGAAAATAAAAATTGTCAATTACATACTTACAAATAATAATGATTGTGATTCTTTGTGATTGTGAGTAATATTTTAGTAATGAAGAAGTGTTATTATTTGTAATTGTAGTAAAAACAAAAATTTTCGCACATTATTAAAATAGTATTTCGGTTGTAATCAAATAATAAATGCCAAATATATTTGTATTGATTGTATTTGGTATTAAAATCATTGAAATTAGGCCCTAAAATGGTTAAAATTAATATCTCTGAGGATTATTAAGGGTTTATATGACAAAATCTGGAGAAAGGGAAAAAAATCCAACATCTAGAATATGGATGTATATATGTATTATACATGCATATATCTCCATAATATGTATTATATATTCCATTTTTAAATTATCATGACATACAGATATCCCTTTCACAATACATACAGCCACGGGCAAAAGTATTAGGCACCCTACAGTAAGACAAGTTTTAGGGTGTTTTAGCATAGCGAGTGTAAATAAAACTGCATTTATGATTACAATGGTTTATTTTAAGAAAATAATTAATATTTTGTAGGTCCACCTTTTGACTTAATAACCGCAGCCACTCTTTTTGGCATTGACTCTACCAGCCTGAAACATTCTTCTCTTGATATATTTTTCCATTCCTGCTGTAACGCGGCCAATAGAGCTTGTTTATTGCTAATCGAGTGCCTGCGGATATTTTTCTTTAAAATGGACCAAATATGCTCAATCGGGTTGAGGTCTGGTGATTGTGGTGGCCAGTCCAAAAGATCAATATGATTTTCAGCAAACCACTTCATGGTATGCGCGGACTTGTGGCAAGTGGCGTTGTCTTGCTGAAATTTCAGGCCATCGTTGTTTGTATCACCGAAAATTTGCGTTATCGACGTTGCTAGTGCTGTTTCCAGAACTTCAGTGTATTTAACACTATTCATTCGTCCCTCACACAACACCATTTCGCCCACTCCGTCGGCAGCCATGCAGCCCCAGATCATTATTGAGCCTCCACCATGCTTAACAGTGGGAACCACACATTCTGGGTTGTATTCTTCGCCAACCCCTCGCCTAACATAAGTCACACCGGGTGTTCCAAACACCTATGCCAAACGAAAAAAACACATTTATTTTCAAAGTTATTATTTTTCTTGCAGTACGTTATTTAAGAAACATTTATGTGTTTTTATATTGTACATAAAATAAATAACAATACCTCAAAGTTAGATTCGTCTGACCACAGTATGTTGGACCAATCTTCCACTGACCAATCTCTATGTTTGAGTGCCCACTCCAACCGATTTTTCTTATTGTGTTCTGACAGCCACGGCTTCTTCCTTGCTTTACATCCTTTTAATCCAGCTTTAAGAAGTCTTCTTCTCACAGTATAAACACTCACTGAGCTGCCTTTTGACTCAGATAATGCTGCAGCGAGCTCTAAAGCAGTTTTTTTCCTGTTTTGTAGAGACTGCCTAATCAACAATCGATCTTCCCGTTCAGTGGTAACTTTTCTTCTGCCTGTTCTTGGTCTATTTTCATGGGTGCCAGTCTCTTTGAAGCGATTTATAGCATATTGAACTGCACATCGCGAGCACTTCACTTCTCGGGCTATTTTAACCTGAGACATGCCTTGTTCATGTAAAATCTTAATTCTTAGACGCTGTTCAGCACTAAGTTCAGATTTTTTTTTTCGGCATGATTAACACGTTAAATGTTAGTCTTTAGAATTGTGATAGGAATAGTTGCGTAGAAGACGTGTATGTTCACTGCAAGCACTGATAACACACTATAACCCGAAACGCAAAAAAAGCAAATTCGAAGAAACACCGCTTAGGAGCACACCTGGATGTCATAAATATTTTCTTTTATCTTAATTTGGTTAAAAATTGCCGCTAATACAATAGCTAAACCATAAAACACAGACTTGACCGCAATATAATGAGATAGTGACTAACAATAGGGGTGCCTAATACTTTTGCACGCAGCTGTATATGTATGACCATAAATCTTGAAGATAAATCAGCAAATTATTTTATGATCAAAATTCTTTTAAAGAACCGAAAAACAGTGTTTCCCTAATTTGATATCAAGCATTATTTCAAGCTAAATAAAACTCTATATCATGACATACAGATTTTTTTCCATTATGTAATATGACCATTAATTTGTTTCAAGTATGTATGTATGTATGTTACCTGTTTCTCTTTCCTGTCCGTCACTCTATTTTTCTTCGGTGGTTCAGTACATGTCAGTAGGAAGCAGTAGCCAGCGAACATCTTACTATCAGTAGGTATGGGCCCCAGCGCTGAGATAGTATCTTCATCGTTTTCAAACTTCGTCAGTTTAGAATTCTTCTTGCCAATGTTCTGTTTCGCCGCTCCTTTTAATTGAAGTGGACCGGCTGGGATGAAAATCTCATATTAATTTTGTCATATATGTATATTACACTTGAAATATTGTCTTAACATTTTACTATGAAAAACAACATGGTTTTGCTCCAATGTATATTTAGAAGCAATTTCTCATAGACCTGATTGTACTATATTATTGTATTCTTCTTCTACCTAGCAATTTCCCAGCTTTAGCCAGGGTCTGCCTAACATGTTGTATATAGTTTTGGCTGATAGTTTTTACGACCGGCCGCCTGACATCAAACTTCTTTGGGAATGCATTAATCAGTGATGTCTAAATACTATACAGGCCACCACTATACTATCCTACTAATATTATAATTGCGAAAGTTTGTGAGTGTGAGTGTATGTTTGTTACTTCTTCACGCTCAAACGGCTGAACCGATTTTGATAAAATTTTGTATACAGGAAGTTGACGTCCAGGAATAACACATAGACTACTTTACATCCCGGAAATCCGCGGGTAACACCGCGGGGCGCAGCTAATTTTCAATATATATGAGTAATTACTATACAGCTACAGCCACATTCCTACCTATCAAATGAGATCCACACTAAAGAGGTTGATATAATAACATCTATATGTTATATGTATTTCTATCTCCCCTCGTAAACTATAGACCCACCCTTAACTATTATATATACCAAACTATTACATATTGTTTTACGACTTTGGATGAAATTGATCACTTGAGTGTTACGTAACGTTTTGATATGGGGGGGGGGGGGGCTACAGAAAAACGTTACTGTGCGTTACGAAGAGGGAAGGGGGGTCAAAAATATTCGAAAATTGCGTAACGTAATACTTGAACGCTCCCTAAAGAGGTTGATATAATAAGTTCTATATATTATATTTATTTCTACCTCCCTCCTACACTATAGACCCACCCTTAACTCCGTCTATCTTCCTCGGGGTCCGCTGTACCTCGGGCTCCACCCCGGCCACTTCTTCAATCCTCGCCGGCGCTGAGTTACTGTTCTCACTCAACTCACTACTCTCACTAGCCAGACGTTTACGGGCTATACTCTTAGTTTTGACACCTGAAATTATTGATTATTATATTTTATATTTATATTTATTTATAATAAGTACACTAACAACATACATATTAAAAAGTTTTACATATTAAAAGTGACTATATTACAATAACAGATATGTACGTCAATAATAAAGTGTACATAACGTTCACCAAACACAATCAAAAAAGTACTAGGTAAAAATAACAAAATTAAAAAGAAAAAAAATTTTATATAAACTTAGGAAAACTATGAATTGGAAGAAAGATAGTCAATGATTTTCTTTTTATATACATAAAACGAATCGCCAAATAGGTCCAGACTTGGTAATTTTTTGCAAATTTCATTATAAAGCTTCGCTAACTGCACCACGGGAATTTGGGATCCAAGTTTAGTTTTAACGCGCGGGATGTAAAATGTGTTCGGAATAGAATTCCTTCGGCATTTATGAGGAACATTTAGAAGGAAGCGTTCGACTAGGCCACTGTACTGAATATCACCATTAAGTATTTTATGTAAGAAGCAGAGACCCTGCACACATCGTCTGTCACGAAGAGACAGCATTTTGAAATGCAGAAGCCTTTGAACATATGGTTGTCTATGCGAGAACTCCTTTGAATGGAAGGCAAGATGCCTGGTGAAATTGCGCTGAATACTCTCAACACGTTGAGAATGAATAGTATAAATGGGATTCCACACAATACAAGCATATTCCAATTGACTACGCACAAAAGCATTGTACAGCAAGATCTTGGTATTCACGGAAAAACCTTTTGTGTTACCGGTTACGTTTGATAAAACCTAATGTTTTAGCTGCTTTACCAATAATACTAGTAATATTAGAAAAAAACTTTAATTGGCTATCCACCATGACACCAAGATCTCTAATCTCAGTTATTTTTTGCAATTGAGCGTCGCCAATAGAATAACCTGACACAAGTGGTTTTTTTTTCCGAGAAAATCTGACAAGAAAACATTTATTGATGTTGAGAGTCATTAAATTTGTTTTGCACCATTTATAAATTCTATCTACATCGTTCTGAATTATTTTAAAATCTGATTGACTTCCAACCCTTCTATATATCTTTAAATCATCAGCAAATAAAGAGACTTTACATGATTTTACGTGGTTTGTGACATCATTAATAAATAATAGAAACAAAAGAGGACCCAAGTGAGATGAATTGAATGATTGATTTTTATGAATTGATGATTATGAATATTTATAACAAAAAAAGCCTTATTTAATGGGGATAGTGCAAAACCGCGTAACTAGCATTTGATAATTTCAAGTATCTGCGTTGGAAGCAGATCAGAAGAAAGTTTAAGCTGAAATATTTTCTATATTGACGACTTTTAAGGAATTTTTTTTCACAATTAGTAATTATTTAGTGTTTAATTATTATTATTATTATATATACTGATAAAAAATTTCGTGTATCTAATTAAACTGCCATTTTACAACTGATTTTATTCAAAATTTCGTCTTACCCTAAAAAATTACCCATCTATTTGGTCCTATTTACTAAATATTTCTGAACTAATTAATTATTATTATCACGTATATCATACCTGAGGTAGATGCTTTCGGACTTTTTGGTGACGCGACTCGTTTTCTAGCACTGGAGTTACCTTTGTCTCGACTTCTTGCACTGCGAGGGCCCTGGAATATAATACGATACATATTCAGCAAAATATATTAATTTATGAATCTTTTATACTCATTTCTAAGTTATACTTAAATAATAACTTTATTGACTGAATATAACGCGCTATTTTTATAGATATGGTCTAAAAAATCTGCTTCCAAAAATGTCTACAAATATCGATCTATTACTTTATGAACATTTAAACAGATACTCCATATATTATTTATTTTAAAGTTTATCATATACATCACCTGTATAATATTATCCAGGTCTAACTCTCTGTGATGTCTCCTACGTGGCGTGGTAGGCGTGGCTGGAGACCTACTCCGGGACTCCTTCAGAGACCTGGCCTGGTCCTCGGTCAGGTACAACTCGCTGGCTGTCACCACTACTATCGTGTCCCTGTACAAAACTCACTCATTACCACTACTATTACATACTAGCTGCGCCCCGCGGTTTTACCCGCGGATTTCCGGGATGTAAAGCCTAAGTGTTATTCCTGGACGTCAGCTTCCTGTATACAAAATTTTATCAAAATCGGTTCAGCCGTTTGAACGTGAAGAACAAACATACACACACTCACAAACTTTCGCAATTATAATTACAGTAGGATATTAGTATACATTTGTTTTAAAGTTGGTGAGGGTAGTTTGCTTGATAGTTTCTGAACTTAGATTTTGACAAAATATTTCATTGGAATAACATATTTTTTTTTTCTTTTTTTTACATTTAATCTCGAATTTGGATAATAAAATTTAATTGAAGTTTAGGAAGAAAATTTCATCACTTTGTTAAAGAAATTGTTGACATGATAATATAAAAGTGTTGTTTAACTTAGAGAAACTATTAATTTAATTATATGAAGAATATGTAAAGTATTAATTTAATATTAGTTATTGATGGATGGACAGTCTATTCGTCTGTTACAAAACGAAAAAGCTCATCTACATCTCGTATTTGATCCCGATTGCTGCAAAGTAATCAAAACTTTGGGATTATATAGTTAAAAGTAACTATAAACGTCTAGTAATAATAATAGTTTGATTTCATGAATATTCGTCTTATATCTCATGATCTATATCTATATATCTATATCTCACCCATCAGTGGTGCATCTATAAGTGACGGTGCCGCTATCATTTTCCTCTACTCCGAGTACTAATCCCGGCTCATAGTTCAACTCCTCATCAACGAGTGCGTACACTGACTGTCCTTGTAGTGGCAGCTTCTTCATGTCACCGAATATTATGAAATCATCTAAAAGAACTTTGCTCTGACCGTCATCGAATTTAATCAGATATTTATTAGGCTCGGTGATTTCTAATACTTTTCCGGAATAATATCTTTTATCCACCCATTTGGCTAGCACTACCGTATCCGGAGCGAAACCGGGATATTCGGGTTTCACGATCGCTTTTTCAACGGGAGTTGCTGGTCTTGGGGAAGTTGGTCTACGTTTTTGTTTCAACTTGCTAACAGACTTCGGTGTTCCTACAATGGCGGGTTTTTCTTCTTTGGGTGATATTTTCCCAGTATCTCCATTGCTGGGTATCATTTCCGGTGAGTTCATTCCGTGCATGTACTCAGCTTCTTCGTGTTGTGTTGGCAGTAATGCTCTCTTAGTTTTCCCCGCTATCGGTCTTCTGCCTCTCACTCTTGTTTTTTTCAGCGAGCTCTTTGGCGTCGCTTTATCACATTTGCTGACCTCTTCCGGGCTGGCGTTTCCGTTGCTGAAGGTGCTTTCGGATATAGAAGCTTGGATGCCGACGGATATTTTGTCGTCCAAAGATCGATTTGCTTCTATGGATGCATCTCTTATGTGAGAAAATATGTCTTGCAGTTTCTTCATCAGTGCTTCGTAACCTTTTACGGTGGTTGTCGGGTTGGAGACGGATTTCCTCGGCGGCGGCGGAACTACAAAGTTCCCGTCACTGGTGCGAGTTGATGATGAAGATGAGCTCACAGTTGAGGCGAAAGACGTTCTGTTCGGTAGAGTCATCATACCTCCACTGGTCACGCTTGATGGTGAATTACTAACCGACACGTCACCCAAGTAAGGATCTATAGTGAACCTCTTAGAAATCCTTTGATACTCCCTGCACATATCCATACCGACATCATTATCAGTTCTGACCACATACAATGATAGGAACTCACAATCTTCGTTATGACTCACGTGTACGTCGAACACCGGTATCAGGGGTGTGCCAATAGCCAATGAATGTCCGTTCTGTAAAGGCGATATGGTAGACGGCGTCGTTGTGTTGCTAACCCTGAACGATTCGTTTTTCCCTCTCTTTCCCTTATTCCCATTCAGCTTGCTCATATCGGGGGTAATTTCTTGTGCCGGATCGTTAACGTCTGTCGGTGTGGATGAGTTTCCGTTTGATAGCTTGGATATTAGTTTGGAAGCGACGCTAGGAACGGTTTCAGGGCTATCCAGACCTATAGACCCTATACTATCAGTACTCTCTTGGTCGGTCGCACGTTCTTTCTCAATCTTTGGTATCTGAGATGTACTCATCTCGGTGTAATCGCTACCATTTTTATTTTCAACCTTTCCAGCATCAATAACTTCACTATCTTTGATAACTTTCTCAGTATCATGATTAGTTTCCGCATTAGATTTCTCATTATCATTGGAATCATAATTCTCAACGGGTGATAGAATTAAATGGAAATTCTGTGAATCGTTCAATTCAGAGCCGCTTTCTTCTTGAATAGTTTCCGGTAGTTTTCGCGCTGGTATCTCTCTAACGAACTCCACGCTCAGTCGGCTTGTATCGTCATCTGAATTAATCATGACAACATCTTTTTCTGCTAATAAATCCAACGGTACTTTGCGGGGTGTTTGAGCTTTAGATATGTCCACACTGGCGGATCTTGATTTTGGAGTTTTTGGTGCGACATCGACGCTGGCGGATCTGGATTTTGGTGTTTTTGGTTTTTGGGGGGTAACTTCGACGCTGTTGCTTCTTTTGTTCCTCCTAGGACTAGAACGTACTGGCGTACGTACACGTGATGTTGAAGGTAGTTCTACATTCTGCTTCCCTATATCATTGATCTCAGACACTTCATCATCTAAACATTGTGTTGTCACAGCTACTTCGTCCTCCGTTAGATCCAGTTTAAGTATTTTAGCGTTGTTATCAGATGCTTCCTCGGAGAGTTTCCGTTTAGCATGAACGGGGTTGTCATCTGTAAAGAGATAATTTTATATTAAACATGATTTCAATTAAACCCTGGAAACTCATTTACCGAGTTTAAAATGAAGTTTTTGTATTATTCATCTTAAAAATGAATCATACAGCAAGTTTCAACCCACTTTGTGGTATTGTGCACAAGTATTTTAATGAACAAAGATATTATTTACAAAAACACAAATTTTGCAAACAAAAGAGAATGCTCATCAACATTAAATGAACAATAATTTAAAAGCATATAATAATATTATTATAATTAATGACTTTAAACAACAAACCTTTTTCAACCTGGTCATTCATATTGCTATCATCCTGTAATAAAAACAAGCAATTAATTAATTTATTTATTTATATTTAATTGAATTATTAATTATAATTACTTATTTATAATGGCAATAAAAGCATTATTAAAGATTACATATTTATTATAACTACATACTTATATTATAAAGGCGATGATAGAAAACATTATAAAAAATTATGAATATGTTTGGATTTATATATGTTTGTTACACTTTTATGCAAAACTTGATTAAACAATCTTGATGAAATTTTTCAGTATTATAGCCCAAACATCAGGATATCATATAGAATATAATTTCACCCAAAACTCTATGAAATTAGCACAGCCAGAGTTATATGGTGCATGAAGTTATTAACTATAAGTCAAGAATAACTCTAGGTGTCGCTGACTTTAAGTTGCCATATTGATTATACATTTTACACATCTCTCTTTGAAACTTATACTGACAACCACATAGACAAAGTCGCAGGCAAAAACTAGTTAGTAGATATTATTATTACACAAAAAGCAAGCCTTAAAATGAGATCATTCTCAGAAGTTATTTAAAAACATAGCATAATTTATTACTGAACATAATTTTGTTGTATTATATACAATTAACCCTTTTCATTCCAAGGCTGGTTTTGTTTATATTCCACCAGCTCCATGCTAAAATTATGTTTTTTTTACTTTTAGTGTTTTTTGTGTATTTTTATTTTATGAGTAATTACATGATACTATATTATAAATCCTAAATTTTAATCTTGACAGTGGAGCTTGTGGAACAAAATCAGTGTCGAGTGACACTCGACATTGGAGTGGAAAGGGTTATTATAATTGATAAATATATGAGTATATAAGTTATATATAAACAACATACATAATAAAGTATAAAACAGCACTCTTTGTGATAGTTAAAATTTGTCAGACTTTTTTATACTAACTTACTAACAAGAAATAAGTTGAAGGAAAATAATATATTTATGATAAAACTATCATATTCACTTCTATGATGAAGCTATATTAACATATAAAGTTCAAATATAGACGTTTTTTATATAAGATATGTTTTTAATGAAGAGAAAACTATTTAAACCAACCTCAATGCATTTCACATCATCGTCAGGTTCATACACCGGACTCTCGGGGAAAAGATTCTGAGATACATCCTTAGGTTTGTCGGGACTTACGGCCATCTCTGTCTTCGTCTCTGTAATTTCATTAATGAATATAAGTCAATTACAAATATTAGAAACATAATTGGTTAAAAAATTTACTATTGGAGCCGAAAATTAGGTAAAAAGCTTAGAAATTGTTATTTTACTAAGATAAATATTAAATATCAATAAAATTAGTTGATTTACTGGTGAAGACAAAATTAAATGTACACATATTGTAGTTCATGTAATATTTTATTGGCGTATAACTTGTTTTTGTCAATACAAGAGGTGATTTGACATAACCTACTTAGGAAGTATTCTAGTTCTAAATATCCGAAATTTAATAGAAAAACATGCTAAAAGATATTATTTTATTAATATTAATACTATTTACATGATAACTAAGCATTACTATAATTATTGTACGTGCAATTTAATTTCGGGAGTCATATTTACTTTTGGCAGATAACACGACCAAATTAAGAAGGCATTAGAATCTTGTAAGAACCATGCATTTAAGACTTAATTTTATCTATATTCCACGAGAATTATACGCAAATGTTACTTTTATTCATGATATAGCCTAATATTTACAAAGAAAAAGCATACTTGATGTAATATTTTACAAAACACAGTAAAAAAATCGAGATGTCATTTTGTCACGACACTTGTCTATTGTAACGGTTTATAAGAAACTATGCTTAATTAAAATGATATATAATTACGTAAATTATATGTTCACCTGAATCTGCAGCAGATGAATTAAAGGCGATAATGTTATCACTGGAATCCTCCATAATTAAATCGCAATTTCACTTGGTTTTATTGAAATCTGGCGCGTTTTAGCATGGAAACATCTGTCACTTGAAAAAAGGCCAAATTCTCAGTATTTCCATATGCCGGATCACAATACAGCAATTCAATATGTAATTTAACGTTTAAGAAAGAAAATTTATATATTGTAATAGAAAAACGATTACAGTAACTATTATTATAATTTTCGCAAAAAGTCAAGCGAAGCACGGCCGCTTGTTGATTTGGCCAGTGTTGCCCAAACAGAATAGCAAATGTATGAACTGTCATTTTGGGGGTCTCGTTTAAGAAAATTGAATTCATATACAAAATATTATAGTATTAATAAATAAAAATTATTCTAAAGTTTCTTAAAAGAGACGAAAATTAAATTCGAGCACAAATAACAAGGTTTAAACCATTAAATGAATTTTAAAAAGCTGACCTTTTTAAAAAATCACAAATATTGTATAGTTAAGTTTTGAACCTAAACTCAATATAAACATTGTTTCTAATTTCAAAATCTTGGATAATAATTGCTATGTAAAATTATAATAAAAACATTTCTAATATTCATACTTATTTATACACTGTAAAATTAACACTGTAATGTTCATAGTTAATTCCATAAAATAAATGTATAATGAATAAACATTGTTTGCTTAGTTTTATAGCTAATATTTTGAGGGCAAGTAAAATTGAGACAAGTAAAAAAATAATTATTCAGAAAACACAATAGTTACATCTCTAGTTTATATAGTAACTGATTATGAAAATCTTGTCATAAACTTTACGTTTAAATTTTGAGTCATCAAGTCTCTTTTATTAAGAAAACAAAATGTAGTCTATAACTTTTTAGCAAAGGGACCCCAAAGTCATTTTATGTATTTCTACCTCTGTAACACCGTTATCATATCTTTTGCATTGTGTACATATATCTAAACTTCGCGATCTTGACGTTATCTGTGCTTGTGTTTTATTTTATTTTTGTTTATATCTGTGCCAACTTAGTGGAACACAGTTATTCGGTCGAGTTTAAATAATAAATACTATCCACTGTTCAATATTATTCTGAATAAACAATGGACTGAAATAACTAAGAATATATTTATTTATACAGGGTGACTGGTGAATTACTATCGATATTTGAGGACGTGATATTTGACGAACATATATGACAAAATAAAAATTAATATAACATAAATATTAATAAACTTCTAAGTAAAGTTAACCAAAAGTTATGTAATTAATTACGCATCGTGTGAACACCCTACAGATTAGGTATACACTGACACTCACACATACGCGTGTCGTGACGTGGTGTTGTATCAGCACGCCGCCGCACGCGTCCACACTTGAACACTTGGAACGTGTCAACACTTTACTTATTTATACGGAAATTTTGTCAAAAATTAAGTGCCTATTTTTTTTACATAATTCGAATGAGAATCATGTACCGAGTATTCTCCTTAAATATTGATAGTAATTCACCAGTCACCCTGTATATTTGTCAATTAGATCAAATTGCGAATATTTTTTACAACTTTTTCAATTCGTATTTAGAAAGAAATAATTTCTTGGTTGAATGTGATTTTTATTTCATTGCATTATATTCTTATATCATGAAGGTTATATAGGTTTTTTTTAATAAAATTTCTAGATGTAATCCTTTGAATATGTAAATAATATTACATTGACATTTCCTTACTGCATAATCTTATTAAAATAAAGTTGTTTACCATGTATTATTTGCTACATAACAATAGTATTCTCAATACTTATACATTATTTATGCACTCCCGCAACTTATCTACTATCACATACGACACACACGATGTATGAGGCTGGGATTTTTGTTTTTGGCACTAAATTATTCCCGGAACGTTCTCGAGACGGCATTTCTTCTTTGCCACTTGAGCTCTCGTGGCAAATATTCAAGTAAGTTTATCATTATTTAGATACACTTGCTGTATTTTAAGTAATCCTATTATAGTACATATGTATTTTATTTGTTATTTTGTTTTGGTTATTTCGAGAAAAGTATTATTCATTTACCCACATAAAGCTTTTTATTTGAGGTTATGTTTTGAAAACTTAATAGAATCTGAAACAATAGCTTACTAGTTACTACGCTTAGAATATTTAATATAGTTCTGGTTTATACTCAAGTTTAAAGTTATCCAAATAGTATTTAACAAAATTGAAAGAGAATATAAGAAGATATTGTTCGTAATTTCTTACGACTAGTGTGTAGTGGTCAGTATATTTTAAATGTCTTCATCGTGAGAAGACAAGTTTTTGTTACCAAGTGAGTGAAATATCACCGTCTGTAGTATCCTTAAGTTTCACGAACAGTAGAATAGAAGGAGAAACGCCTTTTATTTTCCGCTTTAAAGATCTTATAGCTATGTTTGACTGTGAAACTGACTTCGTTGTTAAATTAAAATAAAAAGATTGATTTTAATATCATTAAAAATGAATAAAATAATTATTATAGTTAATAATTAAAATAAATATTTATTATTAATGTGATAACTTCTAATAAATAAGGAAGAAGAGTGGTTTTTGTCACGTTCTTCTAAACTGAACGTACAAGTGAGAGGTATTAGCGGCAAAGTTATTTTAAAGTTTAAAAAATTACACATGAAATTATTCAGTTTCTTTTTTTATCATTGTTTTCTCATGATATTATTACTTAAAATTTTAACACATAGGTATATCTTCTTAACTGAAAAGTACTTTTTGATTATTAATATATTATTTATATAGGTGTCTAGATGACGTAACGTTGAGAAACGCAAGTTTCGTCTGCATTACCTGGAAGAGGATAATTCATTCAAATAAATCACTGAAACGTCGACTTAATCACTTTGAAACAGTTTTGAAAGTTGGGTCGGAAAAGTTGGCCAAATATCACAGAAGAAATAGAAAGATATTGAAGAAACTTGACAAGAAAAATTATTTGACTATTGGAGAGAGTAAAGGTAAAAGAATATTGTAATTTATTAATACTTATGCTAATATTACAATAAATATAATTAATTGATTTCATGAAGTAAATTGTTTGTCTATGGTTCGTAATGCAAATTTCAATGACATTTAATTTGAACAACAAGAAAACCAAAGACAATTTTAATGTCAAATCAATATTTCCGCGCCTTAAAATTTTAAAATGCAATACTTCATAAATAACGATTACTACAATATTTTATTATTTTATATTAATACTAAAGTTATATTTATATGTTTTTCAGTGGAATGGACGAGGAAAACAATAATTAAATCAAAAAGACCGGGAGAAGACATCGTGGTTCGCACAAAGAGATACAAACTTTTTTGATTTACAAAAAATAGGAATGATATAATTTTAACATTAAAAAGTTACTTACAATTTGTTAAGTTCAAAAAAGAAATAAAGTAAATCATAATAAAACGTGTTTAACTTGAACTTATTTCTCTTTTAAGAAACAAAATGTTTTAGCTTCAAGGAAAATCTGGATGTTGTAAATTTTGAAATTTGTAAGTATGAAAAGCAAATCAAATAGTATTTATATAAAAAAGTTTTAAAAAATAGAAGAAGTTACCAGTCTATATAAAGTACTAATAAAAAATATAATACAAAAATAAATAAAAGTAAATTAATTTAATAGGTAAAGGAGTATATATTGTTTCATCCTGTTTAATTTTTGTTTCTCATCGAAAACCCTCGATGTAACTGATACATGTAGCCAATTGCCGAATGATATTTGAATAACAAACTAAATAGACCATGAAATTACGTACTACGGAATAGCAATAAATATAAGTCGTAAAACGATTTTACGACCGTAGAAACTCAACATCTTCTTGAAAAGATTTGAAATCGAAGATAACTAATGTATTACCAACTCCTTTAAAGACTAGCAAAATTTTTTTGGTATAAAGGTTTTTCAAGTTGAGATTTTCATGAAAAATTGGGATTCAGTAGTTTACAATTAATGTGTTATCTTAAGAGTGAGCCAAAAGAAATATATCGCAATAAAATGTTGCATTTGGGTGCTATTTAAATTATAAACTTATTTGGAAATTAGTGTAAATTAGTCTCCCAATAAATATGTGAAAGTTATTGCTTATGGAATGGAAATAAATTTGGTTTTAAGTCCGTTCCTACAATGAGTATTGTTGCCATTTTCGATCCGAAAGACACAAATTTGATACTGAAAAAAATATTTTTATGATAAGCAAGAAAATTCAATTCAGCCCAAAACAAACAAAACAAATGATGACTAGTGTTTCAAAAAATTAAACAATTTTTAAGGATTTATTTATCACATCTCGTCTATCTATAATCACGGTTGCTGCAAAGTAACCGAAACTTCGGAAGTGTATATTTTAAAATAATGAAATATGCGTAGTAATCCGAAAATATTAGTTACATTTAAATCAATACTCACGAAATTCCTAGATCTTATAACATTAACGAGTTTTTATGATTGAATCATGGATATAAATGTACATAAAGAAATAGTGAAGTCAAAAACAATATGTACCTGCTAGAAACGTTTGTTTGTTTGTTTTTATTTGGGCAGCATTCGAACTTCAAATCTACCAAATAGGTCAAAATAGTTGCAGGTTTTATATATTGATAACAGACTAAACATAAATATGACGCGATAATAAGCAATTACTTATTAATTCTTATCAAAAAACACTGATTATGTGAAGCGATGTATCATATTAACAAAATCAGTAAACACTCAGACGGCGTTAAGAAAATCCTTATAAATGGTAACACTATCTAAATTTAATATATAAAAAACACATATAAAATCAATAAAATATGTAACAGAATTTAAAAGTCAACAGTATTCCCACCATTAATCCGTGGATACCTTTTATTTACGGAAACAAAATTTGGACAATACACACGAAAAATGTTGTTGGAATTTTTGAAGACGACTTTCAAATAAAGTTTAGATAACAGTTAGTCAACGTCAAATGTATGTAGCAGCCAAAAAGGAATAAACCATCATTCAGTTTTTCGGCCATTTTGTGTAGTTTTAAAAAAACAAACTAGAAAATAGGTCTAGGTACGTAATCATTCATTCATTTAATACTTTGGATTCCATCCAAAAAGTTTCTATATAAAAGATAAATGATTTTTATATATCACATTACCGTATAATAATAACTAAACAAAGAAATACACAGGAAATGAAATTAATAGAAGCTTTGCGGTCTAGCTTTTTATTTCCAACGTTCTTTGATTAAGAAAAATACATATAAAGAATATAATTAAATCTCTATTTCTAATAAATAAAACAAATGTTTCTTATTTTCTAAAATGAACATTATATTAAATAGAAAAATGGCGTTGGTTATGTTCATGTTGTAAATATAGATTACATGTTACGAACGTTAAGGATACAGATAATTAATAGTTATAAAATAAAAAGCGATACACTTTGAAAGTAAAAAGTAGTTATAGTTAAAAGTACACAAAGAAAAAAAAAAGAGTACAAAACAATAAATAAAACATATAATTAATAGATCACAGAAAATAATTACGTTCCTAAACTTTTCAATTCCATCTTTTTCTATTGAATAATATTTTAAATACATTATGATTATTATTTAAAATTTTGTTGTAAACCATCTATTGATATAAAAACAATGCAGTTTTTTTTAATAAATAATTAGGTTTAAATCAATATTATTTATTAATCTTTTAAATCAAATTAAATTTAATTAATATATCGTTCCATTAATTAAAATATGGTTGGCTTAAACGTAATGGATTATGGTTGGTTCTGTGTTAAAATGAGAATTTCAAGGACAAACAATGAATTATTATGGCAACAAAAGCTACAGAAATTTCTATGAAACAAAATATTTTATTTCAAGAAACATTAATTTTATATAACACAAAGAATTCAGGCTTTCCCATCGTCTGCAAATATGAAATCATTGATAAAGGAAGGATATTTTTCATAACTATAATATTTTATGTATGAAAATTGGAAATGTATTTAAAATTTATTCTCATTTGAAACTTTAAATCTAAAAGGACACACAAACGTCTTAAATTATCGTGTGTTATACATGAAATTATCAAAAAAAAAAAACATATTTTCGTTGCTAGTTTTAATAATCAACTAAGTCCTAAGACCCGAAATACAAGTTTCTTTATATTGGAAACCCACTCAAAGTATCTCATATAAAACTGTAATAATGTTTTATTAATACATTTTTACAGAATACTTGAATAATAATAAAACGATCTTAATTGATGTTCATTGAAATCAAATTATGCTATCGTATCTATATTGACATTTGACAGCTGTCATATAACAATGTACAGCTGTCAAAGTATTAAATTACAATCTGTTATTATGAAATAAATAAATTTAATTATTCATTGATGTTGTAATCATATAGGAGAGTATTTAAATTCGATATATATCTTCAGTGAACTAAATTGTAAAGCATTTCATGTGTGCCGTCCGCTGACATGATATACTGTGGCCGCACATTGCGCAGAACACAATCACATTGTTTTAATTGTTATTTTTGTTTAAGAATCGCATCGTAAATCACTCGGAACAGGAAATGCTATGGTCATGGCGGTCATTCTAAACATTTTGATGTTATGGTTTAAGTTTAAATTATGTTTATTTATTATCTGTGACAAATGTCAAAATGTATTTCTAAATAATAATATTAAAATACACCGAGAAAAAAATTATTGTATTTTATTTCTTTCCATAATATTTTCATTGTAAGGATAATTATGTTCATGTTGCAGAGATAGTTTTAAAATAGGCAAACACATATTTGGCTTATTAATCTGACAGTGACATACACATGGAATTTTATTTCTTTTTACTTTATGTAGTTGACTTATTATATATTTTTAAATGTATATATAATTAACTAAATAACCGATATTGTTAGATAATATTTAATTATATTTGTTTTGTATTATAATGACGACTGGAAATGCAATAAACAATTAATATTAGATATTGAAATTTAGCTTTATAGTCATTGGAATGTTTTTTTCTTTATAATGTCTTTCATAAGTTTGTCAATTTAATATATGTACCTACTAACTTAGCATTACCACATAAGTATGTATAAACAACTGTAGAAAATCTAAAATAATTTGGATTTTTGTTTCTAATTAGATTTTAATGGCCGCCATTTTCAAGCTTCACCAATACAATTATTTTTGAATGCACAAGTTTACACATCTATCTATTGTTTTGATATAAAATATTTTAAGGACATATCTGTTCTGTCCTTTGTTAAAATAACATAAAATGTAACGTAAAAGTAACAATACATTCAGGTCAAGATGTATCTAAACTCCTTTCTTAAGATGGCGTCAAATTGATGCTTCCTGTTCCAGAGCCGGAGTGCTCTCACTTCATCCGCCCTTTTGATTACAATGTCCTTTCGAAATGTCTTTTTGGCGGTGTTTTGGATTTTGTTACATATTTCCAGAATCTCATCTCAAAGATCAAGTGTTTAAAAATCTCAAGGTTAAGACTGGATTATATAATATACATGTGAAGTTTTTAGTCGTTTACATTGTACGGAATTTAACAAATCTCGTACGAGTAATAGATAAGTAATGTTAATTAGGAAATTCGTAATAATGGCCAAAATAATTAAAAAATATATACATAATAAAATGTGAGTAGTGAAAAATGTTTTACATTCAAGTGTACAAAATTTATCCTTGTAAAATAATGATTGATAATATTAAAATAAAAATATATTAAAAAGCCCATAAAGTCCATAGACTATACATAGTTTTAGAAAACATAATGTCGGCTTCGTTTTGACAATTGACTGACATATGTCATATATATTTCAATTTTTATTATACATCTCTCCACTTTAATTATTTTTAATGTTAATTATAATAAAGTTAATAATAATATCATTTTAGTTTATCGTACATCGTTAAAGCGATCTTGTACTCAGTATTTTAACTAAATAATAAATATACATGTATAACAATTAGTCTTGTATGTCATTTCAGAGACTTACGAGAAATATAAATATAATTATATTACGAAAAATATTAAATACTAGCTGACCCGGCAAACGTTGTTTAGACACATATAAAATAGGGGTTGATGAAAAAAAGTTAAAATTTTGAAAAATTAAAAATAAATAAATAAGGGTGAACAACCCTTACGACTTAGGGGTATGAAAAATAGATGTCTGCCGATTCTTAGACCTATACAATATGCTCACAAAATTTCATCAAAATCGGTCCAGCCGTTTCGGAGGAGTTCTCCGTCTAACACCGCGACACGAGAATTTTATATATAAGATAATATATGAATATTTTTGTGAAAAACTTTACTTTCATAACTTGGAAACCGCGGTGTTACTTACTTACATATTTGAGTTATATGAAAAATGTGAACGCTTCCATGAATTTAAACAATTTCATTCGTGATATTGTCCTCCATTTTGTATGTCACACTTCTATCGTTGGAATCTATGGAATTATTTTTAAGTAAATTTTATTATTAAATATAATTTTCCAATGAAAATATATGGTTCAATTCAATAATGAACACTACTTAAGCATTTCCAGATTTTTTTTGATACAAAAATCGCAATGCTTTAGAAAATATATACATACTTACCTACTTTTTGTTTTTCATTAAACTTCTGCACTTACGAGGGAAATTTGACATAAAGTTTTCCTTACATATCTATATATTATGTACTTCATAACAGACAGAGTCGGGATAAAAGCTATCTTTAAAAATATCGCGTGCTAATTATTAATACATTATCGTTTCTATTAAACACTATCGTAATACATCAATCAATTAACATTACTGTTATTCTGATAATGATTATATATAAAAATTACGGAACTACCACAACGGTATTGATTCAAAATGAGGGTGGCCATACTGACTGTGTTTATAGCTGTAATTTTCGTGGTGCATTGTTCTCATACATTTATGGGAACAAATGTCCAGCGGCCTTTGGTGTATCATCGCGAGGTCAAATATAATTCCCAGATGTTTAGAAAGAGGATTGAATACTTCAATTATACGATACCGTCGAATGGATACGCAAGACCTGCGATTCAGGTAAATTATACGACTTTTTCTTTCATCTATCGCTCAATATTCATTAGTATTAAGTCGTAAGAGTGACAATTTTTCATATTGTTTTTTGCTTACCAATATTGACCTCTAGTATGTGTGTATTAAGGTATAATTTTCATGTTATAATAACTTAAACATTAAGTTTAATGAGAATTTAAGTCGCGTTTTTGGTATAACATTATTCTACTTTAACTTCCAAAGAAATAAGTTAACTTGTATGAAGTACATGGTTTTGTTTTTGGTTAATAAATTGTTTTTTGTTTAAATTATGTCTTGTCACAGAAATGATATTTATTAATAACTAGTTTTAGTAACTAGACTTAATTTATTAGTAACTAGACTTCGTCCGCGTTATAATCGAAATTAATTATATATGTATACCAGACCAGGAGAGGTCTTTTACGCCCTAGAGGCAGTAAGTAACCAGATATTGGAATATATTCCGTTTTTTTCGATAGAATAGAATTAAATATTCTATATCCGTCTCTTGGTTCTAAGCTATATTCTCACCAATTTTCAATAATATCCCTACAGCCGTTATTCAGTTATATATAGCATAAATATATATATTTGATATTTAAATAAAACTAGTTATTTTTATGTTTCGGTTCCTTCAAAGTAATAATTCACTAAGTCTTTTAACAATTCACAAGTCACTAAGTCTTTTTATTTGTCATTTATTACCCGCCATTTCTTATTTTCATATAGAAGCATATGTTGTAGAGTATAAAAGTTGTTAAACGATTATATAGTAGATCAGAAAACCACAGTCTAATTTTATTATACAACGGAAAATGGTACCCTTAGCCTAGCCGCTAGTATAAATGAAATTACTATAGGTATGTATTAGGCTCTGTTTTATGCTACCAATTATATATTTTCGTTATAAATATCATTATGAATTTTATATGTTAATCTATTTTTTACATTAAAGTGATGTTTTTTATTTATATATTATCATAAAATATATAAATATTAAATATAATAGGTATATTATGTCGAATGTATTTTCATCTATTCAGTTTTGCGGAAATATTCAAACAGTCTATTTATTTATGTTTTATTTATTATCAATCTGACCAAAATAACGTTAAAATGAGAACTTAAATATGTCATACTAATAATAAAATTCACAGGTTTTTAAATCATAAATATTTTTATATAATCTTGTAAAACATACTTTTATTTAAAGCTTTATGTCAAAAAAAAGGATAATCTTAACATTTAATCCGAAATAAAATGTACATAATTTCAAAATCAAGGTTTTTAAAAATATTATCTGTTAAATCATGAAGTTAATACAAATGATCTTACTGTCTGAATAACATGGTAACGAATAACGAATCTATAATTATCGAAATTTTATACCAGTCTTTGCATCTAATGATACAAATAGGTTTTTTTGCGGGTCAGTATTATACAAATAACTATTTTGGCGGGCAAATCCGGGGGAATTAAATATATAAGCTAAAAAATTATCTTTAGAACATAAAATAAACAAGAAGTTATTTTAAACATAATAACTTTTATTGAATTTCCTTCAAGCTGCCCTTTCAAAGTAACACTGTTATTTAAGCGTTTGTCAAAAAGGATATTTAGTTATCTATTTACTGATTACAAAAATATCCAAAAAGGGCTTTTTAATTAATTTTTTGTAAAAAAATTATAGTGTACACAATTTTATAGTAAAATGATTGAGGTAACTGATCTCCAAATACATACATCTGCCGTTTATCTCGATTCAAAATCAGTTTTCTATGACATATAGCGGAACCTATGAGTCAATTGAGCGCCATTTGCATCGTAATTACCAGATAGCTAAATAATAATCTTAGAATGATTGTTTTGTTCTTCTTCGAGGTACAACTTCAGTATTATTTTAAATGTTCAGCGTTACTTCCAGTAATGTGTTACAAAATTGCTGAAAACAGTCCATAGGTTTCAAATAAAAGATGACAATTAAATATTGTCACAAAATTACAATGGTTCAGTATTATAATTAATTATAATCAATCATAAAAATAATTATAAGGATTATAGTATACTAGCTTTCCGCCTGCACCTTCGCCCGCCTTGGAGTTCGGTTATATCACATCCAAGAAAACCTTTCAAAAGTCTGCGATAAAAACTATCCTATGTTCTTTCTCAAGGTAAACTCTATCTGTACCAAATTTCATTAAAATCAGTTCAGTGGTTTAAGCGTGAATGCGTAACAGACAGACAGAGTTACATTAGCATTTATAATATTAGTGGGGATTATAATTAGTACGGTAGGGATGGCGCCACTTGTAACATTTTCTTAGTATACGAAGTACAGCTTATATATGTATCTTTTAATTCCAGGGTATTCTAGCATTTGACCTGCTGGGTTCGGAAGCTTCAGCCAACGTCACTTCAGGTGGAATCGGTTACTCCTTCGTGAACCTTCGGATGAAGAGCGAACGAGGAATGAAACTTGATTACGATATTTATATTTTCGGATAATATTAATTACAGAATGAATATCAGTAATATATTACCGAATAAATATTAAACTTAAACAATGATAATGTTTTTCTTTTCACCTTACTGTATTTTAGGAATCGAAACAAAATTTCAACTATGTGATGATTTTAAAATTTCAATACTTTTCAATTTAATAACTTATATATAACAAATTGTTCTTATTTCAATACGCTTAGATACTATTCAAAGATTCTAAGCGGAGTATAAGAAACTTCCTATTTTAATGACATTTTTATTTTCTATATACTTACTACATGATGAAGAAAATCTTGAATTAAAGCAAAAAGTTAGCCAGAACACACGCTGTATCATATTTTATCAATAAAACTAGAAGACCTGGCGAACTTCGTATCGCCCTATAATCAAGAAATATCTATTACGTTTTTTATTTTTATTTTTGGAGTTTACCTGTAAGCCATAAATCTCTGTGTTTTGAAGTACGACAGAATGATTGACATATTAGTTAGTGGTCAAATTTAATGTAAAAAAAACGTTTGTATGGGAAATAGAAAAGGGCTGTTTTTATGGTTTTCCCAGTAATGAATCAATTTTTTCAGCTTCTAGACCTTCCCTGAACCTCCACGAACATTTCAAGACTAAGATAAGATAAATCCGTTCAGCTGTTCTCGAGTTTTAGCGAGACTAAGGAACAGCAATCCATTTTTATATATATAGAAGATAGGATGACCTGACTGTGTTTGTAATTTCAAATAGTAACACGAACATCAATCTGACTGCTGACAACATGCATATTATTTCACAATTCGCAATTATTTGAACCAGATCTAAAATACGTTATTCGGGAGTTACATATATTAGAAATTCTGTATCTAATTATTGATTATTATTGCATGTTATTTTTGTAATTTAATACGTTATCAAATAAAAATCCATGAAAAACAAAACTAATTAAAAGGATATTTTGAAAATGCAGTGAATTTTTTTTCCATTTGAGTCCTACAAATAATGGTTTTGTCGAGTTCTCATAGGCTCATTGAACATAAGTTTATATGTATTATTACGTATAATTAATTATTAATCATAATAAAATACAGATTATATGACTGTAACAGATATCCCCGATTTTTAACTTGAATTATACTTTTTGTCTCAAATCTTTTTTTTGATGGATTATGAAAAATTATTCTATCATTTTTAATTTAAATATAAAACGAAATTTTATTAAATAACCTCTAATACATAGATATAACACACTCCAAGCAATCTTAAAGATTTTAAAAGAAATTAGAAGACGTTTTTAAGTCGTTTTGTTAGAAGAAGCAGTCTTTATATGGAGTAGTAAATTGTTAAAGTACCATCCGGAAGATCGCTAGCATTTAAGCTGTCTTAAATAAATCAGGAAATATTTTATTATACTATTATAAAATGTAAAAAATTTAACATAAAAAATTCGTTTATAGGACATATCTATACACCGTAGCTAGAAATATATTTTTTTAATTAAATTTATAATAAATATTAACGTAATCATGTTCAGAAATATACAATTTTAATTCGTTTCCAAATTATCATCTTTTACACATGTTTATAAGAATTTACACCAACGAATACATGTGTATAAAAACATCGAATTAAAGTAGATATATAAAAAATAAAACTATTTACCTCCTGAACTTGTAACGTGAAATGTTAATAAAATATGTAGAAATACACAATGGGTAAGTATTAAATGTTAGAACAGCGTCATTTGGCTCTACGCCGCTCATTTAAAAGCAAACGTTGCGATAGAGGCAACACGAAATAAAATAACAGAATTCATTTAATATATTTTATATATTTAAATATAACTTCATTTTATTTTAATTTCAAAGCTCAATTAGTTAAATTGGTAAACTACAATCCCTAGTAATATTATAAATGCGAAAGTAACTCTGTCTGTCTGTCTGTCTGTTACGCTTTCAAGAATAAGCCACTGAACTGATTTTAATGAAATTTGGTACAGATAGAGTTGACCTTGAGAAAGAACATAGGATAGTTTTTATCCCAGACTTTTAAAAAATTCTCTTGGAAACTCCACGCGGGTGAAGCTGCGGGCGGAAAGCTAGTTATGAAACAAATGAAAATTGAAAATGAGTAATAAAGTTGCATTTAAATTACTCCACAAATATACATGTTCTCGTGGTGAAATGATTCAACAAGGCTTAATAGTACGATGTTAGTTTGTACAGATTTTTGGACATCCAAAGTTCAACCAACAGAGAGTATAGCCTCCGGTTATTTTACCTGTGTGATGGTATTAAAATCAAGTTCATTTGTTTTCAACACACATTAGTATGAATGAAATTATAAGTAAACAAGCTTAAACTTTATAATACGTTAGAACTTTCTATTATAGACTAACTGGAATTATACTTGATATAGATAAACTATAAAATATGTATAGAAAATAAAATATTGTGATCGTGTTTAAAGTTTAAATTTCAGTTTAGTCAAAAAGAATGGTGTGTATTTCACATCTGCATGTGTAGTGGATCCTTAAATTTGGCGTTTTTCTCCAAAACTATGAGAATTTAAAAACGTAAATAAATACAAATCTTTAACATAAATGAGAGCAATATGAAACTTAAGTTAAATAGTATTTGGTTTTAAAAAGAAACTTAAATTGTCTCTAAAAGCAAACGGAGTAAACTTGTTATCATTATAATATTACAACTTTATAGTCCTTTATAATCAGAAGAAGCGCATATATGTATATGTAGTTTGTAATAAATATTACACACATACACACACACATGTAATACATCAAAGTGTGAAGATTCCTCAGTGTGTATATGGTAACTAAATGTCTAATATAATGAATGACATTCCCATTATACTATTACATATGTCTATCGTACTATCTATATATGTCCTTAAAATAGTCAACTAGTTATGGCCAAGTATCGATAGTTTAATGATGTTTCTTGAATGAAGAATTAAAATTTTTGCTTTATTATTATATCTATATTAAATTATATTTTATTATTATTGTTATAACACGTACATAAAAGTAAATCCTGGGACTTTGGCAATTATAGGCAACCTTTAATTTAAGGTAACGGAGTGTTTAGGGATGAAAAATATATTCATAATCAAAAAAATGCAAGAAAATTTAAAAATAAAAACTTCATTCAATAATTTCAACTCGATATCACTGACTTGGCTGGCCATGAAGTGATACATTCAAATCGGCATTGCCAACATAGCAAGAAACGTAGCCTCGGTGACACTTTGGACCATATCTCAAATTAATTACATCTAAATGTTGGCAGCCATGCGGGGGCCACTGGAGAAATGTTCACGGTCTGAAACACCACAAAAAGACCATTAGGGAGGCAAGAGATCACTATCTCTTTAACACGTGCCAAATTTCTTGCGAGTTTTTAACTTAATTTCCTCCTTACAAGAAAATGTTCTTGGCTAGGGTTGCGATGTTACAAGAGACAGTTAAATGTTTTATTTATATCTGATTCAGAAAGATATTTTGAACTAATTGAATTTAAAAGGAAAGATACAAATATTTTTAAAAAAATCAAAGCGTCGTATTGTTTCTTGAAGGGATAAAAGTGAACAAAAAATCACATAGAAAGCCCTAAGCGACTCCACGTGAATTGTCCACAGTATAAATAATATGTGTTGTGTTAAATTCTGCCAAATAATTCATAAAAAGCGCGAAAAGAAAAAGGTGATTTTTTTTTTAAAAAGAAAAACGTTTATAGGAATGACTTCGCGAAAGTATTTCCAATCTCACAATGCGAACTTGGATTGGATTAAGTTCGGGACGCGTCGGAACGTTTGTTAATTCCAGATGGAACGGCTGTTAATTCCAGATAAGCAACTTCTGTTGATTGTTATAAGGAACTTTTCCACGTTGATTGTTTCTTGATTTAAACTCCGCTATTTATAGCTGTTCCTAAGGTGTTACGGAACGATTTTTAGATATCCGAGCAACGTTTTCACTTTCAGCTGAATTCTTGAGATTGTCGAGCGGATTTAGTTGGACTTTGTGTTGTTTAAATGTTGTATGGAATGTAATTTAACGTTTTTTTATGTAATTAGAATTAATTTATTTTGACTTTTTTTTTGTTTATTTTTAATGTTGCTTAGTACTGTTAAAAGTAATGTTAACAATGTTAGGAAGACGAACTTTTTGTCTTATAATTAGTTATACTTGGGATCAAATTGAAAAAAATATAGACAGATATTTATAAAAGTATTTTAATCACTGGTAACAAGAAAATGGTGTTGTAAGTTTATATTGATGTCTGTATGTCTTCTTCTTCTTCTACCTGGCAATTTCCCAGCTATAGCCAGGGTCTGCCTTACATGCTATGAATAGTTTTTTTTTTTTGCTATTTGTTTTTACGACCGGCCGCCTGCCTGACATCAACCCTCTTTTTGGGAATCAACATTAATCAGTGATGTCTAAATACTCTTAGAAAGTACATATGATTCCGAAAAATCACATTGGTACTTGCCCGGGTCAGGATCGAACCCGCGCCCTCGGCGACGAGAGGCCGAGAGGCGGGCCCTTTAACCACTGAGCCACCACTGACTTTATTGATGTCTGTAATCTGTATGTGTGTGCGTGTAATTATGTTTATGTGTGTATCATGTATGTATGTGTGTATGTTTCGTGGCATCTTAGCTCATAAATATGACGTACAATTTAGATGGTATTTTTTCATTTGGAAAGCCAATTTCCTTGCAGTTGTCTTATTTTAGTTATCTTAATATTAAAATCGGTCCAGAAAGGTAAGAGCATCAAAATAATATAAGATGTTTTAGGCCTACGATTACTCGATAACGTGCCTCGCGTGTGATAAATAAATAAATAAATCACAAACGAATGCCCTTTTAATATATTATAAAATATTGAATTATATTATAAAATGAACAATCTTGGTATTAAATAAAAATATTTATCTTGAATAATTTTAAATTATAATTAAATTTACAATTGAAATAATATGTGTGAA